TTAAAAAATTGCAAATACAAGCAGCAGCGTTCCGTTTCTGCAGTTAAAGTCGCCCCAAGGAGGAAGGTCCTTACGCGTTTAGGGTTGGGCAACGAGAAGCTTTGCTATTTCTCACTTTTCAGAATCTAGATTTCCTTGAAAGGAGGTAAATCCCAGCTGCAGCCTTGCCTGGTGGGATCCGTTCGCATCAAACTCTTCCTCCAGGTACCCACGTCTTTGTAATACTGTATTAATACCAATTTGATTTTCCTTTCCTGCCAGGCTATGAAGGCTACGACTACTACAACACCCAAACCACCGCCGCGAACACAGCGGCCACGTACAACTACGCCGCAGCTGCTGCCACCTCCAGCAGCTGGGAAACACCCAAAACTTCGGATCTGAGCATGAACGCCGACGTCGGCGCCGCCATGCCCGTCGCCTCGTACGGTGCCGAGGCTTCGGCGAACGAGAACTCGGATTCCATCATAGCCAAAATCAACCAGCGTTTGGATATGCTGTCGAAGGAGGGCAGCGGCGGGACCGGGGAGGGGATGGAAGACCAGGAGAGGTGACTGTTCCCCTTCTTATTTATTTTTAAGAGTAAAAAAAAAAGGCTTTTAATCACTCTTAAGTTCAGATTAAGTTCAGATTAAGCTGTTCTAATTGCATAGCCACAATCCAGCGTTCGTTCCCTGGAAAACGAGCGTAACTGCTTATTTTTTACCTGTCCTCGTACTTACGTGCGCGCGTACGTATTTTATCTCTCTCTCTCTCAAACGTATCAAACTCGATGTACACGTCAACCGTTAAGTGACTTCCACTGTCGATTCAATTCCTACATTTTGCAGAAGGCTTTTTTATTTCTAGATTTTAAGTTTCTTGAAGTATTTGTTTCCTCTGCGTCCCTTTTTCCTCCTGGCTGCCCAGTAATTATTTCTTTTTTTTTCCCTCCCGCTGGGTTAAATTATGCCAGTCTGGAGAGTTGTTTTGTATCAGTGCGTGTTTTGCTGCTGAAATAATAACACAGATCTTGGCAAGAGTTACTGAATAAACAAAGTTTTGCTTTTTTTTTTTTTTTGCCATTTGACGCTCACTGCATCAAAAGGGTTTAATCTGCATTAATTCATACCCGGAGGCGCAGCTAAGGGACAACGAGAAGCAGCTTTTACCTGGGGAAGCTTTGGGGATCTGCTTTTCCGCTGGCAAAAGATAATTTGGAGTGGTTTAGTGCTATAAAGTTAGTACAGTTGTGACATCTGTGAGGGAATTCTGTTCGGATACTCGTGCAGAAAGCCACAATTCTTTGATATTTATTTATTTTCCCCGAGAGTAAGGAGAAGGTGGAGTGGGATACAGAAAGTGATTGGTATGCAGGGTTTAAAAGTATTTTTATCCCGTTTTTCTGGCCAAAAACATTTGGATCGTGATAAAAACGGATGCAAACGCCTGCATGTCACGCAGGGACGTTCTTCTCGCTGCTGACTCTTGTCTCCTCCGGCACAGCTCTTTCAGATTCGAGTCTTTCGAATCGTACGACTCGAGGTCTTCGATGAACGACCGCGACGTGTACCGATCCGGCTACGATTATGGCGACGTCGGAACCGATCGGAATGATTCCTTCGGGAGCCAGTTCGATAACCGCAGGGATCAATCTCGTAACCGAGGAAACAACTACGGCCTCATCCGAGGACGGGGTCAAAACCGCGTTCAAAATCGAGGGCGCCTAAACGCTTTCAACCGCACCGACCACTTCATGCCCTCCTCCAGCTCCGAGCGCCTCTCAGCTCGTTGGAACGAGTTGAACTACATGGGTGGGCGTGGGATGGGGGGGGCCGGATCCAACAGGCTCCCTTCCCTCTTTTCCCAAGCCCTCGTTCCCGACTACGGCGACTACGGTGACTACGGCGATTACGGCGACTACGGTGACTATGGGGATTACGGTGATTATGGCGACTACGGAGATTATGGTGACTACGGAGACTATGACTATGGCATGATGGGGATGTCGGGCATGGGAATGGGACGGTATGGGAATATGCCGTATGGAATGGGGAGGCAACGAAACAGAGACAGGATGGGTACGGTGCCCTGGCACATGAACGCGCTCATGGTAAGTTGTTGCCGTTGTTTCTTTTTTTTTTTTCTTGTCAAGATTGCTTTTCGCTTGCCTCGGTGGGTAGGCTTCGCCGTTCGGCTGTAGAGCGGAGTCCTTTGGAGGAGCACGAGTCTTAATTCGTGTTGCTTCAGCCGCAGCGTAATTTAAATCTTCCTGGGCAGAGTAGAGTGTCATCAAGCTTGTATATGCCCATTTGCATGTAAAATAGAGCCTCTGAGTGCTTACCCCATCCCAAATCCGCTCTCTAGGGGCGCTCACCCGGCTATAAAATCCTTTTTTAGCCAAAAATAAGCCTGCGGCGTCACAAGAATTTAAGCTTTTTTAGGGGATGTAGCAGATGGGTGGAGTACTTCGATTTTATTTTATTTTTTTAAAAGCTTTTTTTGCTGCCCCGAGTTGATCGATACAAGTGCTTTCTTCCCTCTTTAGCCCAAGAGAAGAGGTTTCCGAAACCGGTCAGGAGGGCGATCGGATGGCGAGGGAGGACGCAAGCGAAAACAGTCGCAAAGCGGAGACGAGCCGGACAGCAAGCAGGCGAAGACCGACAGCGAAGGAGACGACACCGAGAACGGTACGAGCTGTCTTCACCTCCTAATATTGGCCGTTTCTCCCCTTCTTGAGCATTTTATCTTTCAGCTGACCGATAGTTGTTAACGTTTCAAAGCTGTTGTGTTTTTTTCAGTCGTCAGCGTTGGTACAACGCTCCTGCAAGCGCGCGGGCTTTGTGCTCTGTGTATTTTGTGGCCTGGGACAAAATTTAACGCCCGGGGTGAGCGTTGTGAAAGTAAGGACAGAGTTTGCAGCAGAGGCGGAGGGGCAGAGGGAAACCCGTGAGCCATTTGTGCCCTTCCCCGGGGTTTTGAGCCGTTACCGCAGCGCTTGGGGATTTGCTAGGTAGCAGCGGGGCCCCTTGGCGTGTTACGCGGGAGAAAAGACGCCCCAACGCTAGCTAAATGCTTTTTTTTTTTTTTTTTTGTGCAGCAGATGAGGGCGAAGGAGAGGAAAAGTCGGGAGACGAAGCTGACAAAGGTGTAAGTAGCTTTTTTTTTTTTTTTTTTTTAATCCGTCTTTGTGGCAAATGAGGGACTATTTAAGCCCTCAAGCAATTTCCTCTGCTTTTTTGACTGCGCTGAGGGGCAGAATATTTAAAATCACCCAGAAACAGCGTTTTGAGCCCGTATATTCTACAAGTATTCGCTCCTCGTAGTTTCCCCGTGCCCTTCCAGCAGGGATTACTGGCAGGTGCGCTTGCGCCGAGGTGCCTGAAAAGCGCTTGTAGGTCAGGATCCTGCGCCTGTACCGCTGCTTCCGGCGAGGCTCGTTAGGGCTAAATCCCAATTAGCGGTTGGTTTCTTTCCTCGGCGGTTGGTTTGCCGGGTTGGACGGGGGTCATTGCCGTTTGGTTTACTTGTGACTGCGTGTAACCTGCGGTACGGCGTCCCTCGGAGCGGCGACTCAGCTGCCAAGTGTTTAAGTTTTGATGGCGAGAAGCAATACTGAGTGGTGACGTATAACCTGGTATATGGAAAACAACTGTTTTGTAAACATCTATATAAACGGGCGTTTAATCCCCAAAGGACAGCCCTTCGCCTGCGCTGCGGTCTGGCTGGGTGGACTGGGAAACCTCCAAATCGCGGTGAATAACACCGGCGTCTTTTTGTGTTTCTCTTTTCCAGGAGAACGGGAATTGGGGCGATTTGGAGGAAGGTAGGGTCTTACCACCTCTCACGCCATCCTCCTGGACTAATCCCACTCCGAATCCATCTGCTTCGCCTCGGGGCGCTACCGAGAGCTTGATTTTTTTTTTTTTTTTTTTGTTTTTTTTTTTTTTGGTCAAAAGCTGATGCGGCTCCTGCTGTGACCTGTTAACCAGGTCTGTCGTGGCGCAGAAGTGCTGCGCTGGTCAGCAGGGGAGCGCCAAAACGGTTCCATTTCTTCTGGGCTTCTCGGTGCGGACGGTTGCCGCCTGTACGAACGAGTATTTGGGAAAACATTAATTTATTTTGCTGCCCTGCTTGGAGGACGGCGGTGAGGATGCGCAGGTCTCGCGACAGGGCGGAGTGACAAATATCATTCCGTCATTTTCAGTGGAGGCTTCAGCCATGAGCTAAACCTCGTTTTGTTTTGGTTTTTTCACAGATGGGCGTATAGCAAGGTATATTAGAACAGTAATTGAAAACCCATATGGTCGAAAGTAACTGAAACCGCTTCAGCTGGTTTTGGATTGTAATTTTCGGTAAAGACACGTCAACCCCAAGCACCTTGTGCCTTCTGCTTTGGAGTGACTTGGGGAAAACCACACGTAGGACTTTTGCTGCCACTTTTAAGTTATTCTCAGGATTGAAACCGGTGTCGTTGGATGTTAAAACTCTCGTTTAAGCCTCCCTCCGATGCCCGGGTCTGGTCTCTGGGCTCCTTTACCTAAAAACCTTGCGGGTGAATTATTACCCGAGTCCTGTGAGGCTGATAGAGCTCTGACTCGGAGCTTTCTACCCCAAAACGCTGCAGAGATTAGGTCAGCTGAATCTCTAGTTCTCTTTTGCTTTGTCAATAATTATCAAGGCTGTCGGGAAGGCGAGAGGAGGAGTGTATCCAAAACCATCCCAAGGAGGCAGAACTGCTGCCCGAGCGCTGCCCCCATCTCTGCTGTCTTTTGTTGCTTAACCTTCCTGAGAAGCTTTTTTCAGCCTTGTGAAAAATAGGTGAATGGGGGGGAAATGAGGATACAGGGAGAAGGAGTAGCTCCTCCTAAGGAAGGGAGATAGAGCGGTGCCTTGGCGGCACGGTGAAAGCCAGGATGTTTCCCGCTAACGGCGTCTCCCGTCGCTGCCTCCGAAGACTTTGAGTTGCTGTGGGAAATGCAGGGAGCCGGAGGGGTTGGGTTTTACAACAACTGCCGGAGACCTTGGGCTTCCTCGCAGTCGGGAACCGGCTTGGGAGAGCTTCCAGAGTCCAGAAGCAGCTGTGACTTCCCAAAGCTGAGAGTAAAGAGGAAACCGAGGGATTCGGGTCCCAGAATACCTCAGCCAGCAAAGTGGGTGATTGCGAACACAGTAATTCCGATTTACATGGTTTTTTCCCCCTCTCCTAGCATCTGGAGATGGCTGTGAAGATGACGACGAAGAGGTGAAAAAGAAGAGGGAGAAGCAGCGGAGAAGAGATAGGATGCGCGATCGTGCTATGGACAGGTAAGGAACGCGATAAGCCAGTCCGTTGCTGTGAATAACACTGACGCAGGATATTCCTCTGCACAAATGTGGGATAAATGTGCGGGGAGATCGTGTTTTGGGGCTCTGCGTTCTGATTTCAGCAGGTTTTTTTTCCCTTCGTGTGTGTTTTACGACTGTTTTAAGACAAGGAGAATACTGTGGTGTTTAATACATAGATCGGTGTAGAGTAATAAATTCTGAAAGGTGTTTTACGTGGCTGTATATGCAGCCTTGCTATAAAAATAATACAATAAATGATCTAAAGATGGACTGACCAGCAAAGGCAGCAGCAGTGGATCTGTATCTCAGGGCTTTCCCACACCGGGGAGCGGATCATCGTATCGACGAGTGCCGATTCACCTCCTGCCCTATGAATTTCCCCAATTGCTTTTAAACTCTTGCAGGGTTTTAGCGTCCGCTCCCGTAGGATAAAATTTACGGGAAGTAGGCGCTGTTTAACCCGTGCAGGTTCTACAGCATTTCTAAAGGTCCAGGACAAAGTGAAACTGCGTGGGGTGGCACTTGGAAAAACCAAAGGGAGAGAAAACGATGAGGGGCGGTAACGGTGTCGCCTTCTCGATGTTCTCGTTAAGCTGAGCTCGTTCCTCATTTGCGGTACGATTGCTCTGTTTAGAATCCAGTTTGCCTGTTCCGTCTGCAAGTTCCGCAGTTTTGAGGAAGAGGAGATCCAGAAACACCTCCAGAGCAAGTTTCACAAAGAGACTTTACGCTACATCGGTACCAAACTCCCGGATAAAACGGTCGAGTTCCTGCAGGTAGGTGGGTTGCCTGGGGTTGGCTCAGCCCTTCCCCGCATCCATGCTGGCATTTCCAGGCTTAATTTGGGATTTCCAGGCTTATGTGGGGAGGGGAAGGGGTTACAGATTCATCCACCTCCACCCCCTGCTTGGTTAGCTTGCATCACCACGTGTTAGCGCATCGCCCGATGACGTCACTTTGCGTGACGCGATGTCGCACGGGTTTTTGTGTTGGGAGGGAAAGTTCATCGTATGAATTGGAACAGAAAGGCCGGAAATTAATATTTCAAAGACGGTCTTCGCCGTCTACGCGTCTAGAGCTGAGGAAGGATAGAGAAGAATTGATTCTGGATGACCGGCGTTTGCGTTTTGGGGGGCATTTTTCAAGGATTTGGGCTCTCCCAGAAGGAATCTGATGGTGACGTGGGAGCAGGCTTCTGTCTGGCTCCGATTTGGATCTTTCCGGCTCTTGCTCTGGTAGAAACGACAGGGGACGGGGAGGGCAAAACACCTGGCTTGCCTGGTTGATTCACCGGCCGTGGTCTTCCCTGTGGGTTTTCTCTGGAGAGCTCGTTTCCCTTCTGAGCTACTCGATCGCCTCCGCGTGTTGTGAGGAAGACAGCGGCTTTTGTCCTCTTCTAGGAGTACATCGTCAACAGGAATAAGAAAATTGAGAAGCGGCGCCAGGAGCTGACCGAGAAGGAGGGCACAAAACAGAAGCCGGATCCTTTTAAGGGTGAGTGTCCGTTCCGCATCTGGAGACCGAGCGAGGGTGCAAGAAAACGAATAAATACTGCTCCCAAAGAGCTACAGCAGCACAAATGGGAAGGATTTGGGTAACTCAGCCTCTGGTTCTGGGTGGGTTTTTTGCCAGCTTTGCGAAATAAATCGTTCGGTGGGGAAGGGGCAATGCCCGTCCTCGCTGCAGCTTCTCAAGCAGCAGATTCATGGAGCTCGCGCGATGTCAGAGATACTAAAATTGGGTAAGCGGGGGGGGGGGGGGGGGGGG